TGGAAGAGGACTATAAAGGAGGAGAGAGACAACATGCACCAGGGAACATCTAAGGGGAATACCTGAGGAACATCTGAGCAGCCCCCGAGAGAGCCGGCCAGTGGTGTGCCGCTCCCCCGCAGAAGTGGGGAAAGTGGCTAGGGGGAACCGCCCTTCCACGGAGGTGGAGGGGACGGTAGCCAACCCGGGAAGAACCAGCAGCAAACCCGGGAAGGGCCGAGCAGACGAAAGAACAGCGCAGGGTCTTGTGTCGTTCCTCCACGAAGAGGGGGAGCGACATAATGGTGCCGTGACTCGGATATGAAGCCTAGGCAGGGTTTAGTGTCGTTCCTCCACGAAGAGGGGGAGCGACAATATGGATGCCAGTTCGAGTCCCCGCTATTCCACTTCCAATTCAGCTCTCTGCTATGGCCTGGGAAAACCATGGGGAAAGGCCCAAGTCCTTGGAAGACCCAGAAGACACCCCTGGCTCCTGACTTCGGACTGGCTCAGCTCTAGCTGTTGCGGCCATTTGGGGAGTAAACCAGCAGATGAAAGACTTCTCTCTCTCTGTGTGTCTCTACCTTTCTCTATAACTCGTTCAAATAAATAAAATAAATCCTTAAAAAATATATTCCAAGGGTCTGCAGACAATGGGCTCTGAACCAGGGATTCCTAATTTCTTTAAAGAGTCATTTATTTATTTATTTTTGAAACAGAGATCTTCCATCCACTGGCTCACTCCCTAGATGGTTGCAATGGCCAGCACTGGGCAAGACTGAAGCCAGGAGTTTCCTGCAAGTCTCCCATGTGGATGGCATGACATGGATCAGAAGCAGAGCAGCAGGACTCAAAACAGTGCTCCAGTAGGAGCTGGCAGCATCACAGGAGGGAACTTAACCTGCTGCACCACACCAGCCCTGCGAGCTCACACTCGTGTAGAGACCACAGAGCAGGTCCACTCCATCTAGGAGATGGACCTCTAGAGGCTCTGGATACTGAACATTCTCTCATGGCAGCAGTTTCATGAAGGAAGAGGTTACAAAGGCAGGATACGCCACACTGTGTCTCGCCCAAGTGGTGGAGGCACAGACATTACTGCCCAACACTGGCTCAAGAGGCTGAACTTCTCATCTTGACTAGAACCTTGGGAAAAGCCATAAAGTCAACATTTATGTAGACTCCAAATATGTGTTCTTTGTTATGCACACAGGGCAATGTGGAGAAAAAGAGGCCTACTGACTGCAAAAACAAACAACAACAACCCTTAACATGGCCAAGTGATTTTGGCTTCTCTTCGGGCAGTTTCGGACCCTCTGAGGTGGCGGTTATTCATTACAAGGGGCACCAGAACAGGAAGAGCCACGCGATCGGAGGAAAGGCACTAGCAGAGAGGTAGCGAGAAAGGCTGTTACTCAGGAGGCTTCGGAAACAGCGCTAACACCCCAGCCTTTAGCGACCATTGGAGGCCCCTGTTATAGCACGCCTGAGATAGAATGGGCTCAGAAACAAGGTAACGCTAAAAATCTCAATGGGTAGTGGGCTTTGGATCACAAAACCATGCTTCTGCTACAAAGAAGAGGAACCTACCCCGGTAAGGACTGGCAGACCGGCTCCCCTAGCACGTTCCCAGCATATGGTCACAAACACACATGCCTGCCTTGACACATTCACTGGGTGGGCAGAAGCATTTCCAACCCAAAGACAAAAGGCACAAGAAGAATCAAAGTCCTATCAAGACAAATAATCCCATGTTTTGGGCTCCCCAGGTCCCTCTAGAATGACCCTGACACTTCAGCAGATAGCCACCCCTCTGGGAACCTGCCACTTCCATGCCTCTTGGAGGCCCCAGTCCTCAGGCAGGGTTGAAAGGCCAACCATTTTCTTAAAAGGACTCTGGTCAGACTATGCCACAAAATCTCGGATTCGTGGTTTAAGCTGTTACCTGTTGCCCTCCTTAGGATGAGAACAGCACCAACGCTAGCTCACAGCTTGGCCCTCTGGAGATGGCCTATCAGAGGCCCTTCCTCGCCTCTGCCATCCTCCTTGACTCAAGCATCCAAAACGTGATAAAGCATATTACCAAGTTAGGCCAGGTACAGAAGGTTCTGACAGCATGGCAACAAGAGTCTCCCCAAACCAGACTCCAAGTCACTCACAACCAATCTCCTGAGGACATCCAGGTTTATTTAAAACCTGGAAAGAGGGCTCTTCCTCTGACCAATTACAGCCTAAATGGAAGGGACCCTACCAGGTGCCACCTAGCACTCCTATGCAATTATACTACAGCAAATTCCTAGCTGGGTATGTCTGTCAAGAATGAAACCTCTATCCCCTGAGTCTTCATAGACATACCCAGAGGATAACTTTGCCTATTCCTGTGAGCCAATTAAGGACCTCAAATTTATGTTCAAAAGACTTAAAGATAAGAAAAAATTTTTTTATTTTGCCATCAACGTCTCCCTAGAAAGAGGTTCAGGTTGTCTCACTTCCCAGATGACATGCCTTTCCTACTTCTCCCATCTTTTGTGGGAAACTGCCATTGGCAGAAAAACATCCTAGTAAACTTTTCCATCATAATAGCAAAAGGAAAGGAATTTACTACATACCATGACATTGTTTTAAGAAACCGGTCTGCTGCCTTGGGCAACTAAGCCCAGATCACTGGCCAGGTTCTACAGCAATTGCAGGATTCTTTATATTCCCCAGCTAAGGTGGTCATGGCTAGCCAACCAGCCCTAGATTACCTGCTGCAGAACAGTGTGGAATATGTGCAATGGTTAATAAAACATGCTGCACTGATTTAACAGTGGGCTTCTGGAAGAAGGTATCAGAGGGCTTTATGATCAAGCGAAGTTGTTCTATGATTTTGGAATGGGAAATCCCTCAGCTTCCACCACCTAGGAAGAAACAAAAAGTACTCTCTCTTCTCTGACATGGCTCTTATCCTTGCGCCTTTCTGGGTCATGGATACGCATTCCTAACGACAAATCTGTCTCTTCCAGAACCCAGCAGTAGGATGTGAAGATGATGGTCACGTAGGGACTTTGGCCATCACTATTAACCGGTGACAACCCTCCAGCTCCTGCAAGGGACATTCTACATCAGTTAGCAGGAGCTTTTCTTCCTAGGATAGGCAGGGAAGCATCCTGACACAGCCTGAAGAAGTCACAAAAGATGGGCCTTCCTCCTTCAACCTCCCATAAACATTAAGGGACAGAAATCTCTGGGGGCAAAGGTGAGGTAGGCAGAGGTAGCTGTTAAGGAAGAACTGAGGTCTCCAGCTCCTCCCTTAGCTCTACCTGCTTGGCCAAGCTCCCTGCCCACCAGGTATGTGCTGCAAGAAACCAGTTTCCAAGAAACTACTGCTCAGAACTAGTGCCAGCCCAAAATAAACAACACAGCTGCCAGCTGCACCCCTGCCATGGCCTTTAGCTACTTACAATATCATTATAATATATTACATATCATTATATCAATATAAGTTGATCAATTATAATATCAATAATAGCATCATAACAAATTACTATGGCTGACACTCCTCTCATCACACACTACACCTGAGGCCATGACACTTCCGAGAGTTCCAAAAAAGGATGTAAGTGCTCCTCAGGCCTTGCCCCAAACTCGACCGCCTATGAATATTCAATTAAACTCCACCCAAAATCCACCTTCTGAGAGCAGTCTGTTAAACCTCACTCCAGACACTACCCACTATGCCTCCAGATCACAGAGGGATGGCCCCAAACCTCACTGGATTCAGCTCTTTCTACAGCGTGTTTGTACTTTGCATGCAAATAAATCTTACTTCTCTGCTAACCTTCACCTACCTCTCGTTCTTAAATTCTTTCTTACCTCAGAGCCAGGAACCTGGCCCCAGCCACTCCACGACTTACTGATCCTCCTCTATATCGTTCCCAACACAGGGCAGGGTGGACAGCCCTTCTCCCTGAGCGTGGGTTGGATTCTGCAGAGCTGAAGGTGCTGTTCCTGCCTCAGGCAAACTCACAGCTGCCATCACCGAAGACCCCACTCCAGGTGAGACCAGGGATGTGGGCGTCACCACTTGTTCACTGGGGTGAGAGAGAGGTAGAGAGCATTCCAGGGATCCAAAAGAGCCTGAAGAGGCCAGCATCCTGGCACAGTGGGTTAAGCCGCAGCCTGCAATGCTGGCATCCCACATGAGCACCGGTTCAAGACCCAGCTGCTCCACTTCCGATCCAGAGCCCTACCAGTGCACCTGGGAAAGCAGCAGATGGCCCGAGTGTTTGCGCCCCCGCCACACACGTAGGAGGCAGGGAGTTCCAGGCTCCTGCTTTTGGCCTGTCTCAGCCTTGGCAGTTGCAGCTCTTTGGGGATGGAAAATCTCTCACTCCTCTGTCTCTAACTGTACCTTTCAAATCAATCAATCAATCAATCAATCTTTATTTAAAGAGCCCTTAGAAAGACTTGTCCAGGACAAATCCTGATGTCGCTTTTGGGAGAGAAGGGTAGTTTACTTTTGCTGGCATTTGGCGTGAGTGTCAGAAGCAGACGGAAACCTGGGTCTGCAGGCGGCTGGCATCCTGAGAGCTCCAGTCAGAGCCCCAGTCTCCTCATCTGTCACATGAGGGTAATAAAGCCGATAGCGTCCTGCTCCTAAAAGCAGCCCAGAGAAGCTGCTCCCGCGAAGAGTGCTCATGAAAGGGCCTTGGATGATGAGGGTGTAATGCTACAGCGAGTGCCCGGTGAATTTAAAAAGGAGCAAGCTCTGTGACGAACCGCGGTCCCCGCCGGCTTTCGAGAGGACACTTGGCGCGCAGAGGCTGCTGGTCCCAAGAGGGAGGGCGATAAGCCCGGCAGCCTCCTGGGAGGAGGCGGGCCACGGCACACACTCGGAGGAGAGAGCGCACGGGGCAGCGGCCGTAGCGACGAGCCCCCTCGCCGCCGCCCCGCCACACCTCGCCCCTCACCTGCGCCCGGAACTTTGTGCGCGCGGAACCTCGGTGCCGAAGCGCCGGCGCGGCGGACCCGGGAGGAAGATGGAGCGCGCGCGCGGGCCACTGGCTGAGGCCGGCGCGCCTGAAGAGGAGGAAGAGGAGGAGGCGGCGGGGACGGCCATGGCTGCCGTGGTGGCGGCCGCGGGCAGCGCGGGTCCGGCCGTCCTGCAGGTGGCCGGCCTCTACCGGGGCCTGTGCACGGTGCGCAGCCGCACCATGGGCCTGGGGCTTGTGTCGCCCGCACAGCTACGCGTATTCCCTGTGCGCCGCGGCTCGGGCCGACCCGCTGGGGGCGCCAACGACAACGGGGTCGGGGCAGACCTCGAGGCCAACCCCTACTACGACCGCTATCGCGACAAGATTCAGCAACTGCGCAGGTGCGGGCCCCGCGCGGGGAGGGGGAAGAGGGGCGGCCCGCGACCCGAGCGAGGTGGGCCTGGGGTTGTCCCCACGCTCAGATGATGCGCCTAGGCTCATTGGCCTGGGGTCACACAGCTGTCCCTCCTCCTGCAAATCCCTGGCTCTTTGCGCAGTTCCCAATCTTTGCGCCTTCTCCTGAACTCAGGACAGCCCTGGGAGGCAGGCAGCTGAGAGCTCTATGCCCATTACAGAAGTGGGGAAATGCAGCCTGTCAAAGAAGCGACTTGACAGCCTCAAGGTCACATGCTGAGTCAGCTGAACCCAGCCCAGAGGCTAGGGTTCCCAGACTCCTAGCTCAGGGCCGTAACTGCAAGGATGAGAGATTGGGAGTGGGAGGGAGGTTGTGACCACCACCAGGTGTAGCGTGCCCCAGTGATCTGGAACCCCAAGTGTGGCTTTTCTCCAAGGAGGAGCTAGCCCACTATGGAGGGAAGGAAGTGGTGCTGGAAGAAGCACCCCTGTAATACCGTGATAGGGAGGTCTAGCGGGGGGGAGGTAGCCGAGATGCCTCGGGTCCTGCAGACCCCACTCACGACGCCGCAGGTCTCTGTGCTGAGGAGCTGGAGACCCTGCGAGACCTTCACCAGAGCGCCCGAAACCAAATGTCCCATCATCCGCCACATAGCCTGAAGAATTTTTTTCTTTTTACACTTGATCTTAGCCAAAAAGCCAAGAAATGAGTTTTTTTTGTTTTTTGTTTTGTTTTGTTTTTAAATAGGCTTTTAAAATTTTAGTTGTTTGTTTGAGAGGTAGAGAGAAAGCTCTCTTTTGGTTTACTCTCCACATGTCCCACCAGTCAGAACTAGGCCAGGCCCAAGCTGGGAGCCCAGTCAGGATCCCTCTTCTGGTGGTGGCAGGAATATAGTACTTGAGCCATTGCTGCTGCCTCCCAGGGCCTGCATTAGCGGGCAGCCAGAGTCAGGAGCCAGAGCAAGGTGTGGAGCCCAGGTGCTCTGATACGGGGTGCAGTTGTCCTAACCACTAGGCCAGATGACTGCCCTCTGAAGAGTTCTTAACAAGGACAGTAGCCCCAGCCTGGACCTCAGGCCTGGGGGCAGTCCCATTTTGACATAAAAGACAAGTTCTAATGTTCTGTTTGTAGGATCCAGTTCTTTGGAGGGTGGGCCAGGGAGACACTCAGGTGCTCAATCTGCAAAATGGTTGCCTGGTGCCTGTGAGTTCCCAGGACCTGAATAAAATGCATGTTGGATGAGGGTGGGGTGGGTGTGGAAAAACTGGTAAAAGCTTGACACCTCTAATAGGGATGCTGTAGTTTTTGCCTGAGGAGGTGACCCAGCAAAATGACTTCAAAGTGACCTTGAGGAACAAAGCTGTGTCACCCTGAGGAATGGCCTGCAGAGGAAAAGTGTTCAACAGAGCCCCTAAAGGTTAGCAGTGTTGAATAAAGGGGTTTCTTCTGCCTTCTTGATTTCCAGGCCTGTGCCAGGCAGTACTAACTGAAGGCAGCTCCTTCAGCTTCTCCGAACGCCTGTGTCCTCTCCTTGTGGAGATGGAACGTGATGCTTTGTTGTTTCAGAAGCTGAACAGGCCCCGTGGTTTACCCTTTGGTTTATCTTTGGTCAGGACTGATCCAGCTGCTTTTGAGTCCCGCCTGGAGAAGCGCAGTGAGTTTCGGAAGCAGCCAGTAGGGTACTCCAGGCAAGGTGATTTTATCAAATGTGTGGAGCAGAAGGTAAGGCTTGCCCCTTTCTGTTTTTTTTTTTTTTTTTTTGGGGGGGGGGGGACAGACAGAGTGGACAGTGAGAGAGAGAGACAGAGAGAAAGGTCTTCCTTTTTTCCATTGGTTCACCCTCCAATGGCCACTGCGGCCAGTGCGCTACGGCCGGCATACCACACTGATCCGAAGCCAGGAGCCAGGTGCTTTCTCCTGGTCTCCCATGCGGGTGCAGGGCCCAAGCACTTGGGCCATCCTCCATTGCGCTCCTGGGCCACAGCAGAGAGCTGGACTGGAAGAGGAGCAACCAGGACAGAATCCGGTGCCCCGACCAGGACTAGAACCAGGGGTGCCGGCGCCACAAGCGGAGGATTAGCCTATTGAACCACAGCGGCACCGACCCCCTTTCTGTTTTATTGACCAACCTGTACTCCTCCCCACTTGCTCTGCCTCTTATTCTGATAAAAGTGGGCTCACTACTGCATGAGCTAGATGAACTGAACACAGCCTGTCAGTGTCCATTCAAAAACATGTATCCTGCTGTCTCCAGGCAGGGTTCTGTGGTCCTGGATGGCGATGCAGAGGCATGAAAAGGGCAATCTCTGCTCCCAGAGGGCAGTCAAGGCAAGGCACACGTGGCAGTGAACCGTCAGATGGAGCTAGAACCTGACCTAGGCTAGGAAGGATATAGAAGATTTAAATTTAGCAGAGGAGGGAGTGAGACTTTGATATAGTATAGACAGGGGTCATCAGACTTCTGGGAAGGAGCAGATGGTAAATATTGTAGACCTTGTAAGTCATATGGTCTCTCTTGCTCAGCTCTAATCTTACAGTGCAGAAGCAAATGTACACAGTAACGAACAGATGTGTTTATGTTCCAATAAAACTTTATAAACATCACTGGCCAGTGGCATTTAGTTTACTGATAATCAGCCACCAACTCCTGATGTTCAGGAATTAGCGTAAACAGAGGGAGTGCATTGAAAGTAAAGGGGGTGTTATGAGACACAGTAAGGTACCTTGCCCCATTAAAACAGAGAGGGAAGTGTTATGGTTAATGAAATGGGTTCAGCATTAACCTCTAAGCTGAGGCATTTGGGTTTAAGGAGTAGGGGAAAGATAACTTACTTGCTAAGAGGATAGACTCTGCAACCATTTGCCAAGTACTGAGTCCTGGCTTATCCACTTACTAGCTAGGTGACTCTGCATAAATTATATGACATCTCTAAACCTCAGTTTGCTTCTCTGTCAAAGGGGAATAATAACTACCTACTTCATAGTGATATTTTTTTAAAGATTTATTTATTTATTTATTTGAGAGGCAGAGTTAGAGAAGGAGAGACAGAGAGAGAGTACTTTTTTTTAATTTTAAGATTTACGTATTTAGGGGCCAGTGCTGTGGCATAACAGATAAAGCCACTGCCTGCAGTGCCGGCATCCCATATGGGCACCGGTTCGAGTCCCAGCTGCTCCTCTTTCAATCCAGCTCTCTGCTATGGCCTGAGAAAGCAGTAGAGGATGGCCCAAGTCCTTGGGCCTCTGTACCCGTGTGGGAAGACCCAGAGTAAGCTCCTGGCTTCGGATTGGCACAACTCTGGCTATTGCAGCCAGTTGAGGAGTGAACCAGCGGATGGAAGACCTTTCTCTCTCTGCCTCTCCTTCTCTCTCTGTGTAACTCTGACTTTCAAATAAATAAATAAATCTTTTAAAAAAGAAAAGAGATAGGGAGGTGGAGAGAGAGATCTTCCGTCTATTGATTCACTCCCCAAATGGCTACAATAGCCAGGGCTGGTCTAGGCCAAAGCCAAGAACCAGGAATTCCATCTAGATCTCTCATGTGGGCAGCCAGGACTAAAGTACTTGAGCCATCTTCTGCTGCTTCCCAGGCACATTAGCAGAGAGCTGGGTGGGAAGCAGAATAGCTGGCACTCGAACAGGGACTTGGATATGGGCTGAGGGCATTAGTTCAAGTGGAGACTTAACCTGCTGTGCACAACACTGACTCCCGTGTTCTTGTTTTTTTTTTCTTTTTTTTATTCTTTTTCATTTTGTGAAAAATATGCCCATAATCCCCTAAAGTAATTTCACAGCCTATGCCTTGAAAAATACTAATCTGGAGTAGAGCACAGAACAAATTAGATTGAAAGAGGCCAGAACCAGGGAAGACATGCAGTAATCCAGGTGTGGGCTTCAGAGAGCTTGAAATACCTTTACAGGGAAAAGTTGGGATTCTACAGTGAGTTTTAAAGTCAAACTAAAGATGTTTATTATACTTGGAAAATAACTTTTTTGACATAGGTAATCCTGCATTTTAAGAGAATCTACTTAGTTTTAACTAGTTTACTTAGAACAACATTAATAGTGGGTGCATCATCTAGAGGTTGGAGAGCAAATTAAACTTCTGTGACAAGCATAGTTTTTTCCTATAGTAAACATTTATAGTAGCAAGATTACAAGTCAGTAGCTCCTGGAAATACTACTGTATTACAAACATTCAATTTTGTATGAAGAAGCTCTGTGTCCCTTTTTGTAAATGTAGAAATTCAGCTTTATGATGATAAATGAAAAGTAAGAATTGAATTTAAATTATGGCAACTCTTAGGTAGCTATTCATATTTACGTAAAGCCTTTACTTTACTTTGAGTCATTGATTCCATAACACATGGGACTTAACAGCCCCCTTTTATAATAAGTTTTATTTTATTCTCACTTTATCCTGAAATTAAATATTATTGATAGACCTAGAACCTACCTGTATACATAATTTTGAGGGCAATGTCAGTGTAATGCCCTAACTCACAAAGGGAGGTATTTTTTAGTAAAATACATATTTTAGTGTGTGAATTCTTGGGCACAACTCTTTTTTTTTTTAAAGATTTTATTTATTTTTGAGAGCTAGAGTTACAGACAATAAGAGGGGAGACAGAAAGGTCTTCCGTCTCTTGGTTCACTCCCCAAATGGCTGCAATGGCCAGAGCTGCACCGATCTGAAGCCAGGAGCCAGGAGCTTCTTCCAGTCTCCCACATGGGTGCAGGGGCCCAGTCTTGAGCCATCCTCTACTGCTTTCCCAGGTCATAGTGGGGAGCTGGATTGGAAGAGAAGCAGCTGGGACTAGAACTGGCATCCATACGGGATGCCGGCACCACAGGCAGAGGATTAACCTACTGCACCACCACGCCAGCACCAGCACCAGTACTCTGTTTTGAGACCTGCATTTATCAGTTGTGTTCGCTTAATTTGTGAAGTGCTGTGAGCATATAAGCAACAAATGCTGACTGGTACATGGATATTGTATTGGTAATTATAAAAACTCTAAAACCACAGTGTTATAAATCACCTAAGATTCCACAGTGTACAATTTTCAGTAAAGTTGTACAGTTATTTTATTTCTATAAAATGCATTTTTTGTGAAAGCTGTGTGGGTTCTAGGCCCAGGTTTTTACCTACAAGGATGTCTGGCTAGACATTAAGAAGTTTTGCAAGAAGGAGGAAAGTTCTTTACTAGGTAGAACCCTGAAAACTTGCAGCTCATATGGTACCCTGCCCCTCCCATAGGTGCAGATGTCACTAATTATTGTAACAACAAAAAATTATCCCCACTTATTTCTCAGGTGCCCATAGTGGAAAAGGACTCGTTTAAATTTTTTTAAAGATTTTATTTATTTATTTGAGAGGTAGAGTTACAGACAGTGAGAGGGAGAGACAAAGAGAAAGGTCTTCCATCCATTGGTTCACTCTCCAATTGGCCGCAATGGCCGGAGCTGCACCGATCTGAAGCCAGGAGCTTCTTCCCGGTCTCCCACAGGAGTGCAGGTCTCCCACTTAGTCCATCTTCACTGCTTTCCCAGGCCACAGCAGAGAGCTGGATCAGAAGAGGAGCAGCCAGGACCAGAACCAGCGCCCATATGGGATGCTGGCGCCGCAGGCGGAGGATTAATGTACTATGCCATGGTGCCGGCCCCATCATTTAAATTTTTATTATGTGCTTTTGGGGCTGGCACTGTGGCATAGTGGGTAAAAGCCGCTGCCTGCAGTGCCGACATCCCATATGGGTGCCAGTTTGAGTCCTGGCTGCTCCACTTTCGATCCAGCTCTCTGCTATGGCCTGGGAAAGCAGTAGAAGATGGCCCAAGTGTTTGGGTCCCTGAACCTACATGGGAGACTTGGAAGAAGCTCCAGGCTCCTTCCTGGCTTCAGATCAGCACAGCTTTGACTGCTGCAGCCATTTGGGGAGTGAACCAGTGGGTGGAAGACTCTCTCTCTCTCTCTGCCTCTCTGTAACTCTGCCTTTCAAATAAATAAATAAATTTTAATTAAGTACTTTTAATACTTTTGGCATATAGTTTTAACTATTTTAATTTATCAATTTTAAAGCCCAATTATTTTTACATTTTAACATCTACAAAATTGTCCCAAAACTGATGTTTTATGAAAGTGTTGGTCTGTCATTTAACTGGCTTCATTTTCTGATACATAAGATAATGGTGAATCTTGATCAATGGGGTCTTAGATTTGGTAAAATACAATAAGCTTATACATATAGCTTAAATTTTTTTATTTCTGTAAGTTAAAATAGAAGCAGAACAGATTATAGAGAAATTGTGAGGAAAGAATGCACAGGGCTTGACTGTTTTTAAAAGATTTATTTGTTGGCCGGCGCCGCGGCTCACTAGGCTAATCCTCCGCCTAGCGGCGCCGGCACACCGGGTTCTAGTCCCGGTCGGGGCGCCGGATTCTGTCCCGGTTGCCCCTCTTCCAGGCCAGCTCTCTGCTGTGGCCAGGGAGTGCAGTGGAGGATGGCCCAGGTGCTTGGGCCCTGCACCCTATGGGAGACCAGGAAAAGCACCTAGCTCCTGGCTCCTGCCATCGGATCAGCGCGGTGTGCCGGCTGCAGCACGCCGGCCGCGGCGGCCATTGGAGGGTGAACCAACGGCAAAAGGAAGACCTTTCTCTCTGTCTCTCTCTCTCACTATCCACTCTGCCTGTCAAAAAAAAAAAAAAAAGATTTATTTGTTTATTTGAAAGGCAGAGCTACAGAGGGAGAAAGAGGGTGCAGGGGCCCAAGGATTTGGGTCATCCTCTGCTGGTTTCCCAGGCCATTACCAGGGAGCTGGATCAGAAGTGGAGCAGCCAGGACTCTAACCAGCACCCATATGGGATGCTGGCATTGCAAGCAGAGGCTTAGCTTTCTGTGCCGCAGCACTGGGCAGTGCTTGATTACCAGAAAGCAAAGACACCTGTGTAAGTGGAGGGTTTTGTTTTCACGATAGACCCGAGAATGAATGGAATGGACATGAAATCAGTTCTTCCCTGTTTAGATGATTTATGCAAGAATGAAGGGCTGTAGTAGGATGCTGCTGATGTATTTGTGCTATATCCAAAAAGACCATTGTATCCAACAAGTTTTTCTATACCAGGCTTTTGTATAATTTGTGGGTACAAGTTTTACGGGTATCACTTGTGAAAGTTTTGGATTCATTAAAGCACAAAATAATAAAAGACATGATTTTATGTAGAAAGTGTTTTTCAGCCTCAGAATTCCATGTTTAAGCTATGTTTCTTTCCTCAAAGGTGTGGTCTTAAACTTAGAGATTGGACAGAAGATTCATAACATCTATCAGCCATCTGTCAACCATCCCTACTATTAGAAACAACTCAAAAGAGGATTTCCTGGCTGTGGTTTCTGACAGATATGGTGGCATAGGAGAGAAAATACTCATTCTCAATTTTTCTTGGCCTCTTTTGAGGAGAAATCTAATTTGATGAAGGCAATATTAAGACTGAGTTCTCAAAAAGACTAGTCTGCGCCGGCGCCGCGGCTCACTAGGCTAATCCTCTGCCTAGCGGTGCTGGCACACCAGGTTCTAGTCCCGGTTGGGGCGCCGGATTCTGTCCCGGTTGCCCCTCTTCCAGGCCAGCTCTCTGCTGTGGCCAGGGAGTGCAGTGGAGGATGGCCCAGGTGCTTGGGCCCTGCACCCCATGGGAGACCAGGAAAAGCACCTGGCTCCTGGCTCCTGCCATTGGATCAGCGCGGTGCGCCGGCCGCAGCACGCCGGCTGCGGCGGCCATTGGAGGGTGAACCAACGGCAAAGGAAGACCTTTCTCTCTGTCTCTCTCTCTCACTGTCCACTCTGCCTGTCAAAAAATAAAAAAATAAATAAAAATAAAAAATAAAAAAAGACTAGTCTGGGGGCCAGTGCTGTGGTGTAGCGGGTAAAGCTGCTGCCTGCAGTGCTGGCATCCCATATGGGCGCTAGTTTGAGTCCTGGCTGCTCCACTTCCAATCCAGCTCTCTGCTATGGTTGAGAAAACAGTAGAGGACAGCCCAAGTGCCTGGGCCCCTGCACCCATGTGGGAGATCCGGAAGAAGCTCCTGGCTCCTGGCTTCGGATCGGCGCAGCTCTGGCCGTTGTGGCCAATTGGGGAGTGAACCAGTAAATGGAAGACTCTCTCTCTCTCTCTGCCTCTCCTCTTTGTATTTATTACAATAAATAAATAAATCTTAAAAAAAAAAAAAAAGACTAGTCTGAGGCTGCCTGTCATCAGAAGTGCTGTCAGGGATAAGCAGCAGCCTTGGAGAAGACCTTCCCTTTCCACCTCCTCTGTGGCTCAGTGTGGAACCGGTCAGAGAGCAGAGCATAGGAATTTCAAGCAGACCTAATCTGGGGACAGAATCCCTCATATCCAAGGTAGGTGTAAGGTGTTTATCTCGGTACTAACAGCTGGTAGTTACTGACAGATCCCTATCTCTGCAGCTCCGAATCTCAATCAAAGAAAAGTGGCCTCAAACAGTAGCCCTTAAAACAGTGTGCACAGTCACTGTAGAATGGACAGAAGGAAGTTCTCAAATGCAAAATTAATGAGACTGGGCACCTTGTCTAGCTTGGTGGTGTTTTTCATATGAGTAAAGTGTATATTAATATCCTGTCTCATCATATATTTTAGGCAGATGCCTTGGGGAAGCAGCCTGTGAGTAGAGGATTCACAAAAGACAAGGTAAGTTTCTAATTAAACAAATCCAAGTCTGGCGTCATATGGGACAGCTGGAACGAGAGGCTGCAAATTTGAACACATTTGCTGCAGCTTAGTGATTTTGTGTATTGTGATTTTCCAGCTGTAGAGATGAGCAATATTTCTATGAATTTTTGTGTTCTTGTTGTAACCCCCAGCAAAAGTGTGGGTCTTGGGAGTCCTGGAGGAAATGCAGTAACACTCCATCCTTGTACAGGGAGCAATTTAGAAAGTCAAATAAAGCATGTTTAGTCTATCATTTAATTTGCTACCCCTAGTAGAATAGCTGCTAAGTTAAAAAATAACAAAGATTTCTCCTCCTAGCTGCAAAATGCTTTGGGACTCATGGGTGACAGTGAAATACTTGGGAAAGTACAGAGTGACTAATAGATACTCCCCGGGAATAGAACTGTGAAAACCTGCCTGGGCTTGGGGGCTCACTGTCTCTGAGTTTGTCCTATACTTGTTCTCTGCTTACTCAGCTACCTAACATACTGTTTGTCACAGGGCTTAGAGGTAGAGTTAAGCTGTTTTGTTTTGTTTTTTTATAGCTATTAATTGCTTTTTTATTTTCTTTTTCAAGACTCTCAGTTCAATCTTTAACATTGAGATGGTTAAAGAAAAAACTGCAGAAGAAATAAAACAGGTAATCGATGAAAATGGGTTTGCAGAACTTGTGAAAAATGTGTGTTTTCTGAATCAAATCTGAGGGAAGACAGCATATATTTTCTGACACCTTTCTGTAGCCAAAATGAAAGGTAGTAAAAGAAATGACAAAAGTGATGAATTACATGAAAAACAGTGAAATGAGAAAACCTGTGTTTCTCAGCCTTGCTCATGTATGTCTAATCAACTTGTGTTTCTCCTTTCATTTCCATTCCTATTTCCTGCATCCTACTTTAAATCATCAGTACTTTATACCTGGATTCCTTCCTATCAACCTTTCCAAGTAGACATCCCCACTCCCATTCCTCCTGTTCCCATTTCTGCCACTCTCCCTATCACATCCTCACCAGCTAAGTCCTCTTAAAGTTTTGCTTTCATTAAGAGAAGCATAACATGCTCATTAAAAACAGACTGGAGAACCACACTGTCAGTTTTAAGTCCTAATTCAGCCACTTACTCGTTTATAACTTGGACAAGTTAATTAACCTCTGCGGGCCTTGGGTTTTCTACTGTAAAGTGGAGATAATAATAATACTTAACCTCCTAGGGTTATTTAGAAGATTAAGAGTGTTAACATTTGCAGAGCACTTAGAACAGTGCCTGGCACAAAGTAAGTGTCGCTCCCCCTCTTCGTGGAGGAACGACACAGGACCCTGCGCTGTTCTTTCGTCTGCTCGGCCCTCCCCAGGTTTGCTGCTGGTTCTTCCGGGGTTGGCTACTGTCCCTTCCACCTCCGTGGAAGGGCGGTTCCCCCTGCCACATTCCCCACTTCCACAGGGGAGCGGCACACCGCCGGCCGGCTCTCTCGGGGGCTGCACAGGTGTTCCCCTTAGATGTTCCCCTTAGATGTTCCTGGTGCATGCCGTCTCTCTCCTCCTTTATAGTCCTCCTCTGCCAATCCTAACTTGGCTGCCCACACGCCGAGTACGCTGCTCTCCTCCAATCAGGAGCAAGTCCTACAGTTTATTGGCTGAACTGGAGGCAGCTGTGTAGAAGCTGTTTTCTTCTCTCCCAGCGCCATATTGTGGGAGAGCAGATGCATAGAATAAGTCTTAATTCCAGTAACTTAGTCTAGTCCGGGTTGCTCCCCACAAGTAAGTGCTATCTTTATATTTTTAAATAAATGAATAAAAATAAGGAACTTGCTAAAAAATGTTCAGTGACTTCTCATATTCCATTTCTTGATCTTCATAGTCCACTGTCATTAAGACTTTCTGAGGAAGCTTCCTGGACACCTTCCTTCCAAGCGCAGTCTCTCCTTCCTGTTTGGCCTTTCCATGTATCTTGGTTTGCGTTGCTATTTACATTTTCATGTCTGTGATTCTTTCCTCTCAGTAGACTGTAGTTAGCTGTTTATTGGCACTCTTTATTGCTCCATGAATTATTTGAGGTATCCTGAGAGGATCACAATAATATTAAACGCAGCATCCTGTGTATCAGGTATCTATGCTTAGTGCTTCATATATTACTTCATTAATTCTCATTACTACCCTGTGAAGTAGATGCTGTTGTTTCCCAGTTTATTTGAAGAACTGAAAGTTAAAGAGATTAAGTACTTGAGTCAGTGGTAGAGCTAGGTCTCAGACCTGTGTCTGTTTGACTCTGTCATATACGCATACAGGAAGTGAAACCAGTTGCCACGGGTTTCCTTTGGTTGCTATATCATTTATTTTTGTGAGTGTTTATTCTATACCCATTAAATGTCAGCTGTGTGCCAGACAAAACCCTCTACCCTCAAGGAGTTTTAGCCTAGTGGAAGAATGAACACAAACACAAATAAGGTCAAAACAGTGCTCTAAATTTTGGTAAGACAGGCTTACACAAAGTCTCAGGGAGAACTCAGGGCCTTTGAGAAGAAGTGCCAGGGGCATAGACACCAAGCATGTTGTCTTAGATGAGAGACAGGCCAGGCCCAGGAGGTCATATGACAAGTGTTACTTAGACCTAAAAAATGTATGCTCATTGAAATATTTTTTTAAGATTTATTTATTTGAAAGGTAGAGTTAGAGGAAAGAGAGATCTTCCATCCACTGGTTTACTCCTCAAATGGCCTCAATAGCCAAGGCTGGGCCAGGCTGAAGCCAGGAGCCAGGAACTTCATCTGGTTCTCCCATGAGGGTGGCAGGGGCCCAGATACCTGGGCCATCTTCTGCTGCTTTCCCAGGCCATTAGCAGGGATCTGGATCAGAAGTGGAGCAGCTGGGAAACAAACTGGCACCCATATGGGATACCATGCCAGTATCACGGGCTGTGGCTTTACCTTCTATGCCATAACACTGGCCCCCAAAATAATTTTTGAGTAACTAGTCAGCTATATTACATTAAGAAATACCTATCAGTCTTATAAATGTCAGTGTTTATTTATAAGCTGTCTGCTAATGTTGTATTATAAATTAATCAGAATATGCTGTCTTTAAAATGAGAAGACCATATTTAGACATCCTTTAAAATAACAAGCCACCTTAGGCTGCAGTGGTGGTTTGCCTAGGTCCTAAAAAGTAATAGTCCTTTTGTGCTTTGTATTAGTTACATAGGTCACACTTTAATTAGTGTCCTCAGCTGGAGCTTTTCTTTTCTTTTTTTTTTTTAACTCATTTATTTGAAAAGCAAAAGCAGAGAGGAAGATAGGTCTTTTGACTGTTGATTTATTCCTCAAATACTTGTAAGAACCCGAGCTGGGCCAGGCCAAACCAGGAGCCTGGAACTCAATTCAGGTCTCCCATGTGGGTAGCAGGAACCCAAGTCCTTGGGCCATCACTTGCTACTGCCCTGGGTGTGCATTAGCAGGAAGCTAGAATTGGAAGCAGACCTGTGACCTGAACCCAGACTCTGATATAGGATACAGGCGTCCCAAGCAGCATCTTAACCACTACCAAACCCTTGCCCCTGGAACTCCACATTTCAATGAGTATGTTTACAAAATGGAGCAACTCTAAAAAAGGGGGACCTGTTCTTCAACATCAGCTCACTCAGGTGTCACTTTGGTTGTGTTATGCTGACTTTTGTGCCTTTGCTAATGTTATTCTTGGCTTAAAACATGTGTCATTATCTCCTCCTGCCCTGCCTGTTCATCTTTCTATTCGGAATACAGCTCAAGTGTCCCTTCCTCTGTCATTCTTCCCCAACCTGGGCTAAGTGCCTCTTTTTTTTTTTTAACATTTATTGATTTTTTAAAAATTTATTTGAAAGAGTTACAGAGAGGAGAAGCACAGGGTGGGGGGTCTTTTACCCGCTGGTTCACTCCCCAAATGGCTGCAATAGCAGGAACTGGGCTTATCCAAAGCCAGGAACCAGGAGCTAGGAGCTTCTTCTGGGTCTCCCACCCAGGTGCAGGGGGCCCAAGCACTTGGGCCATCTTCTACTGCTTTCCCAGGCCATGGTGGAGAGCAAGATCAAAAGTGCAGCTCAGGCCAGTGCTGTGGTGTAGAGGGTAAAGCCGCTGCCTGCAGTGCTGGCATCCCATATGGGTGCTGGTTCAAGTCCGGGCTGCTCCACTTCCAGTCCAGCTCTTTGCTATGGCCTGGGAAAGCGGTGGAAGATGGCTGAGGTCCTTGGGCCCCTGCACCCATGTGGGAAACCTGGAAAAGGCTCCTGGCTCCTAGCTTCAGATCGGCACAGCTCCAGCTGTTGCAGCCAACTGGGGAGTGAACCAACAGATGGAATCAATCAATCTCTCTCTCTCTCCCCCCCTCTCTCTCTGCCTCTCCTCTCTTGTGTAACTCTGACTTTTGAATAAATAAATAAAAAGACTTCTCTCTCTCTCTCTCTGCCTGTCCTCTTCTCTGTGTAACTCTGACTTTCAAATAAATCTTTAAAAATAAATGTCTTTTTAACAAAAGTATATGAACTCTTACAGAGCAGAATTTGGAAATTTAAAAAAAAGGAAGTGGAGCAGGACTCGAACCGGCACCCATATGGGATGCCAGCACTGAAGTTGGCAGCTTTACCCACTACGCCATTGTGCCACCCTAAGTGTCTCTTTTAAAAGCACCTAAAAGAGGCCGGCGCCGCGGCTCACTAGGCTAATCCTCCGCCTAGCGGCGCTGGCACACCGGGTTCTAGTCCCGGTCGGGGCGCCGGATTCTGTCCCGGTTGCCCCTCTTCCAGGCCAGCCCTCTGCTGTGGCCAGGGAGTGCAGTGGAGGATGGCCCAGGTGCTTGGGCCCTGCACCCCATGGGAGACCAGGAAAAGCACCTGGCTCCTGGCTCCTGCCATCGGATCAGCGCGGTGCGCCGGCCGCAACGCGCCGGCCGCAGCGGCCATTGGAGGGTGAACCAACGGCAAAAGGAAGACCTTTCTCTCTGTCTCTCTCTCTCACTGTCCACTCTGCCTGTCAAAAAAAAAAAAAAAAAAAGCACCTAAAAGAAACCAGAGCAGAGACCAAATAAATATTTCTTACGATGTCACAGTCATCTATCACTCAACAAGCATGTCTGAACACTTTTAGTGTTGCAAGACGTTGAAACACATGCAGACACCGTACCTACAGGGAACTTGCAAAGTAGTGAGGGAGATGGATCCATTTGGAAATGGACTTTATTATGAAATGGCATATCCTAGGCATCTTTAGAGAAGTATAAAGTACAAAAGCAATCCATAGCAAATCTTCTGACTGAAATGGTCAAGGGAGACTGCGTGGAAGGAGAGTGATATAAATTCAGCTTCAGCAACAAGAAGAGTTTGGGGATCAGAGGTGGGAAGTGACACTTTTTTGTGAAAAGGCAAAATAATGGTACTAAAAAATATGAACACAGAATATGCATATGATATGTGAAATGATATAAAAAGCAAGACACAATACCACAATAGGCTATATCTGTGTCTAAGAAAAATACTATTAATATGCATTGGAAACAGACACATCAGAAATAATAATGATTCTGTTAGGGTGGTAGAACTAGGAACATTTCTGTCCTTTTCCTGTTTTTAATTTCTTATAAATTTTTATTCCTTACCTTTTGATATTTACATCATAAGAGTCAAAATGTGACCTGCTTGTTCTTTGGTGCCAAACAGTTAGGACTTCTGATTAGTATGTACCATAGTCTGCTCCAACACACTCTTATCTCTTCCTCTTATGAAAGACATTCTGGAAGCAAGATCTGAAAAGCTGCCTATAGGATTGTGATATTAGCGAATAAAGCTAACAGTATTTGTAGTGTTTGTTCCAAGCACTGTGCTAAGCGTAAGACTGCATTATTTCAGCTAGTCTTCCTGACAGTCCTGTGAAGTTGACTATTGCTGTTTTGTTGATGTTATTTGGGGCATCTTAATAATTTGCCCAAGGTAGCACCTAATAGAGCTGGGATTTGCATACAGGTCCACCTGACTACAGACCCTGTACTTTACTGACAGTGCCCTCCCTCACTCAGAAGGCCCACAGCTGGCTGGGGAGGGAAGAGGCAAGATATGGGGGGAAAAAAGGTTGTCTTATCACACACCAGGCACATATTGAGAATGATTAAAAAGGTCATAGAATCAGTTTCTCTGACAGGAATATGTTATTAAGAGTTAGAGTTTAATCATCCAGAAGAGTATATGGTATTAGATCTTTCTAATCATGTACTAGTAATGAAAGCGTTGTGTTGGGTTTTTCTTCCCCAGTATCAAATATGACTCTACTCTGAGCAGAGAAAGCTGTCAGCATTTCTTGGTACGGGTTACAGATTACCTGCCTGTCACAGACACCGCCTCTTGTTTTACAGATTTGGCAGCAGTATTTTGCAGCGAAAGATACGGTCTTTGCAGTTATTCCTGTAAGTAGTTTGGAGGGGAAAATGAAAGTGTTGCAGCATGGAGTTTAGTACTCCAACCTTAGCTGGCAGTTCCTTTACTTTTCCTGTGTTTATTGCCTCTTGAGAACTTGGGTTTCACAGCTCTGAAGGTTTTTATTATGCCCTAAGTACCAAAGGTTGGAGGCTTCATATGCTATATTTATGGCTCTTGCTTTCCCTCTTTCTGGTTTAGAAATGTCTCTGAGTCAAGTCTCTGACAGCAGAGCATGGTGTAAGTTCATGTGGTGAATAATTTCCAGGTGCTTTTTGTTTTTTGTTTTTTTTTTGGAGGGGGGAGCCCTGTTTTCCAAACAGGCTGTTGGAATTTAAGACAGCGTCTCTAACATAGCTTTCTTTCTTTTTGTCTATAAAGGGACCTATACCAGAGCTAACCTGGAGCCTTCTCCTTTCTCTGGTGTTGCCCCTTATCAAGTGGCATTTTCTTGGGTTTTCCTCTTCCTAGAATTGCTGTCTTGGAGTTGGTTGCCAGTCATTGCCTGACCATTAAGGTTTGTGACTGGGAGGGGATGCTGCTGGCTTCTCAGGCTTAATATCCTGTTCACCTCCACCATAAGAAAGCGTTTGAAGTATTGGAATTTGAAAAATTAAACTAATCTTTCATTGTTCTTCTCTGAAGAGGAAATGGCTTAGGTTAAATTTATATCAAGCATACAAATATATACTGAACTTTTATGATTAACTCTAAGGAATAAAACATGTGGGTAGAAAAAGTCAGGTCTTTTGGTTGTTATGATGGTATCACTGGTTTTTTGTTGTTATTGTTGTTGCTTTGTTTTGTTTTGTTTTGACAGGCAGTTAGAGAGACAGAGACAAAGAGAAAGGTCTTCCTTTTCCGTTGGTTCACCCCCAAAATGGCCGCTACGGCTGGTGCTGCACCAATCAGGAACCAGGTGCTTCCCCATGGTCTCTCATGCGGGTACAAGGCCCAAGCACCTGGGCAATCCCCCACTGCCCTTCTGGGCCACAGCAGAGAGCTGGCCTGGAAGAGGAGCAACCAGGACAGAATCCGGCGCCCCGACCAGGACTAGAACCTGGGGTGCCAGCACCGCAGTCGGAGGATTAGCCTAGTGAGCCGCAGCGCCAGCCCTGTTTGGTTTTTTTTTTTTTTTTTTTTTTTTTTTTTTTTTTTTTTGAGAGGTAGAATTACAGTGAGAGGAAGAGACAGACAGAAAGGTCTTCCTTCCATTGGTTCACTCCCCAACTGGCTGTAACGGCCAGAGATGAGCCGATCTGAAGCCAGGAGCTTCTTCCTGGTCTCCCACGTGAGTGCAGGGGCCCAAGCATTTGGGCCATCTTCTACTGCTTTCCCAGGCCATAGCAGAGAGCTGGATTGGAAGAGGAGCAGCTGGAACTAGAACCCAGTGCCCAAGTGGGATGCCAGCAATGCAGGCAGAGGATGAACCTACAGTTCCGGCCCCATCACTGGTTTTTTTTAATTTATTTGTTTGAAAGGCAGAGTCAGAGAAAGAGAGGGATTTTCTATCACTGGTTCACTCCCAAAATGGCTACAATAGCTAGAGCTTGGCCAGGCTGAAGCCAGGATCCAGGAACTCCATCTGGGTCTCCCAGGTGGGTGCAGAGGCCCAAGCACTTGGGCCATCTTCTGCTGCCTTCCCAGGTACATTAGCAGGAAGCTGGACTGAAAGTAGAGCCACTGGGGCTCAAATTGGCACTCAGAGACAGGATGCCAGCATTCTAAGTGGCAGCTTAACCTGTTGCACCAACTCCTATCTTTTTTTTAACCTCTTAGACATATACACCCTTACCCATCTTAAGTTTAGCAGCCAAAAAATTTATACCTTTCATGAATGTAGATCTCTGATACTAATTCATTTTTTGAACAGGCCTCCGCAGGTCTCCCTCAGACTGACTTAGTGACCTAATGCCTCTGCCACTTGTCAGAGTTCCCCGAATAGTTCAGAGCTTTGAAGTACCTCTTCTTCAACATAATTCTGACAATGAACAGCAAAGCATAAGACTGGGTTTTCCTATCTTTCTGTCATATGAATGATTTGAAAATGATAGAACAGTAAAGATTATTTTGGTGGTATTACAGTTCTGCAGTTCAGTCTTGGTCAATTTAAATGTGATTGTAGCTTTTTGTATTTTCCTGCTTGTGAGTTAATTTTTTTCTTTTCCAACTTACAGAAAGAGAAATTTGATTTGATCTGGAACCGGGCTCAATCCTGTCCAACAGTAAGTATCTGGTGACCATATAAACATTGTTTATCAGTACTGCCAAACAAGAATGTTTCCAACCAGTCCTCTCGTATTCCGTACACTCTCACATTACAGAGCTCTATTTATTTAAGAAAGATGCTCACATGTTGTTGTATGGGTAAGTGAGTTTTTCAGCCTTATAAAGTTATAAGTGTTTGGCCCAGAAAGCTCCTTTTTAGCTGGCTACCACATCTCTGCCCTTTCTAATGTAGATCATTTTAAAAAAGAGTTATTTATTTCAAAGACAGAAAGGAAAAATGCTCACATCTGCAGGTTCTTTTCCCAGATGCCTGCCTGCAACAGCTGAAGCTGAGCCAGGCCAAAGCTGGGAGCCAGGAACTTAATCTAAGCCTCCCAGGTGGGTGTCAGGGACTCAGCTAATTGAGTCATCACCTGCCCTCCCGCTAGTGTACATTTTTTTGTGACTTATTTATTTATTTGAAAGAGTAACACAGAAAGAGAAGGAGAGGCAGAGAGAGAGAGAGAGGTCTTCCATCCACTGGTTCACTCCCCAGTTGTCCGCAACAGCCAGAGCTGTGCTGATCTGAAGCCAGGAGCCAGGAGCTTCTTTTGTGTCTCCCACGCAGGTGCAGAGGCCCAAAGACTTGTGCCATCTTCCACTACTTTCGCAGGCCACAGCAGAAAGCTGGATTGGAAAAGGAGCAGCCAAGTCTGGAACCGGTGCCCATATGGGATGCCGACGCTTCAGGCCAGGACATTAACCTGCTGCGCCACAGCACCCCCCCCCCCCCCACTAGTGTACATTAACAAGAAGCTTTTGGGGCTAGCGCTGTGCCACTGCATGTTAATGCCCTGGCCTGAAGCACCGGCATCCCATATGTACACCAGTTCGAGACCTGGATGCTCCACTTCCAATCCAGCTCTCTGTTATGGCCTGGGAAAGCAGTACAAGATGGCCCAAGTCCTTGGGCCCCTGCACCTGTGTGGGAGACCTGGAAGAAGCTCCTGGCTCCTGGCCTCGGCTCGGCGCAGCTCTGGCCATTGCGGCCAATTGGGGAATGAACCATAGGATGGAAGACCTCTCTCTCTGTCTCTGCCTCTCCTCTCTCTGTGTAACTCTAACTTTCAATAAATAAATAAATCTTTTAAAAAAGAAGAAGAAGCTTTAAAAAAAAAAAAAAAGACATCATCTGGCATGTCCACATTCTATATTGGAGTGCCTGGATTTGAATGCTGGTACTTTTTCTAATTCCAAATTCCTTTTTTTTTTTTTTTGAGAGGCAGAGAGAGGGAGGTCTTCTACCCACTGGCTCACTCCCCAGATGGTCACAACGTGCCATCTGATGCCAGGAGCTTCTTTTGGGTTTCCCATGTGGGTGCAGGGGCCCAAGGACTTGGGCCATCTTCTACTGCTTTCCCAGGCCATAGCAGAGAGCTGGATCGGAAGTAGAGCAGCTGGGACTTGAACCAGCAACCACATGGGATGCTCGCACTACAGGCTGGGGCTTTACCCACTATGCCACATCAACAGCCCCCCAAGTGACATCCTAACTACTATCTCAAATGTCCCTAATTTCTTTTAGAAAAAGATTTATTTATTTACTTGAAAGGCAGAGTTATAGAGACAGAGGGAGAGGTCTTCCATCTGCTGGTTCACTCCCCAAATGGCTGCAATGGCTGAACCTGGGCCAGTGTGGAGCCAGGAGCTTCTTCCAGGTCTCTCACGTGGGTGCAGAGGCCATCCTCCACTGCCTTCCCAGGAGCATTAGTGGGGAGCTGGATCAGAAGTAGAGCAGCCAGGACTCAAACTGGCACCCATGAGGGATGCTGGTACCCCAGGCAGCAGCCCTAAATGTCCCTGATTTTTTTTTAATTATTCAGTTGAGAGAAAGAGAGAAAGCTCCTATTCACTCCCCAAATGCCCACAATGGCTGGAGATTTTGAGGAAAGGTGAAGGGAGACCACAGACAGGAGCCAGGAATTCAACCTAGGTCTCCCAGTGGGTGGCAGGAATCAAAATCCTTGAACCAGCACCACTGGCCCCTCAGGAGCTGGCAGGAAGTTAGGCAGGAGATGGAGGCAGACACTGGATCTAGGCATTCCAGTAGGGTACGCAGGTGTGCTAACCAGTGGCTAAACCACTGTCCAAATGCCTGCCCCTCTATTATAGGGCTTATCTATCAGAAAAGTGCCCATTGGAAGACCCTGTTTTGGGGGCCAGTTTTCGTAGTTTTAGCCATGCTATCCTGGTAATACGTACCTAAAAGAAGTTATGAGATTGTTGCTGGAGAAATGAGCTCCAGTAAAGGCTATGAGAAAGAGAATGGGTGAGGTAGACTAGTGGACATGGTGTCACTAATGCTTACTGGGGTTTTCGAGAAAATTTCCAAACACTGCTGACAGGAAATAAAGAATACTAAGTAAATGGAAAAATATACCATTTCATGGATTGGATGACTCAGAATTATTAAGATATCAGTTCTTCCCAAATTAATCTCTACTTAGAATACGATCTCGGCCGGCGCCATGGCTCACTAGTCTAATCCTCTGCCTGCGGCGCCAGCACCCGGGTTCTAGTCCCGGTCAGGCGCCGGATTCTGTCCCGGTTGCCCCTCTTCCAGGCCAGCTCTCTGCTATGGCCAGGGAGTGCAGTGGAGGATGGCTCAAGTCCTTGGGCCCTGCACCCCATGGGAGACCAGGAAAAGCACCTGGCTCCTGGCTTCAGATCAGCTCAGTGCACCGGCTGCAGCGGCCATTGTGGGATGAACCAATGGAAAAGGAAGACCTTTCTCTCTGTCTCTCTCTCTCACTGTCCACTCTGTCCAAAAAAAAAAAAAAAATCTCAATCAAAATTTCAGTGGGCAGTTTTGACAAGCTAGTTTTAAAATTTTATTTGATTCCAGAGGACCTGGAATAGCTAAAACAATTTCAAAAAAGAATAAAGTTAGAGGACTTATTTTTTCTGATTTTATTATAAAAGATATAGTAAGGAAAACAGTGTTGTATTGGCATAAAAATAGAAATATAGATCAATGGAACAGAGTGCAGAAGCAGACCAACATACATTGGTTGGTTGTCTTTCAACACGGTGCCAGGGTGATTAAATGGGGAAAGGATAATCTTTTCAATAAGTGGTGCTAAAGCCATTGGCTATCTATGTGCTTAAAAAGTAAATCTACCTGGGGCCGGCACTATGGCACAATGGGTTAACGCCTTGGCCTGAAGCACCAGCATCCCATATGGGCGCTGGTTCGAGACCCGGCTGCTCCACTTCTGATCCAGCTCTTTGCTATGGCCTGGGAAAGCTGTACAAGATAGCTCAAGTCCTTGGGCCCCTGCACCCGCGTGGGAGACATGAAAGAAGCTCCTGGCTCCTGGCTTCAGATCAGCAGAGCTTCCGACCGTTGCGGACAACTGGGAAGTGAGCCAGTGGATGGAAGACCTCTCTCTCTCTCTCTCTCTCTCTCTGCCTCTCCTTCTCTTTGTGTGTAACTCTGACTTTCAAATAAATAAATCTTAAAAAAAAAATCTACCTTTAACCTTACACTACATATAAAAACTAAATCAAAATAGATCTGTGATTACTTTAAAATTTATTATATAAGGGTAAAATGTCATTTTTTATTCAACTATTGTTTGTAGCTGTTGTCTGTATTCTCACCAAACTAGGTTTTTTGCTTTTCACTTGTTAAACTTCTTATTTGGTGAAGCATTAAACCTTTTTTACTGTAATATAAATTTAAAAGATATTATCTCAAAAACTAAAAAGAAGAAAAGGGAGAGGGGGAAGTAGGGAGGAAGGGAGTATCATTATATTCTTAGAATTGTGTTTATGAACTATATTCAATCTGTTAAAAACTAATTAAATTAAAGAAGATTTGTTTGTTTAAGGGTCAGAGTTGCAAAGAGAGAGTTCTTCCGTCCCTGGTTTATGCCCTGCATTGCAGCAGCAACCAGGGCTGGACCAAGCCAAAGCCTGGAGCTTCATCTGGGTCTCCCAGGTGGGTAGCAGGGGCCCAGGCACCTGGGCCATTAGCGGGGAGCTGGATCAGAAGTGGAGCAGCTGGAATTCAGGCCTGTGCCCATATGGGGTGCCAGCATCCCAGGTAGTGGCTTTACCTGCTATGCCACAATACCAACCCCTGTAGTATTTTTTTTTAATAATTCAGTTCTGACAGTTACAAATTGTACTAAATAAAATGATGGTATAATCATGTAGTGTCATGGTTACATTATGTTACTAAAGCACTAGGGAAAAAAATTTCACTAATCTAAAAACTCAAAGGGAGAGCTCAAATATCAACCTTGGCCATATAAGTAAGGAGAAACATGGAATTCTAGGCTTACATGAATCTACCACTCTTGGGGCTGGTGCCGTGGCACAGTAGGTTAATCCTCTGGCTGCAGTTCAGGCGTCCCATATGGGCACCAGTTCTAGTTCCAGCTGCTCCTCTTCCAATCCAGCTCTGTGCTATGGCCTAGGAAAGCAGTGGAAGATGGCCCAATCACTGGGCCCCTGCACCCACTTGGGAGACAGGGAAGACACGCCTGGCTCCTGGCTTTGAATTGGCCCATCTCCAGCTGTTGCTGCAATCTGGGGAGTGAACCAATGGAAGGAAGACCTTTCTCTCTGTCTATCCCTCTCACTATCTGTAACTCTACCTCTCAAATAAAATAAATCTTAAATAAATAAATAAATCCACCACTCTAGTGAAGATCATGTATTGTTTTTTAATACTAGCACTATTTAATGATTGAGACTAAATAAAATGTAGTTTCCTCAATTGTTTTTCAAAAAAAAATCTAATGTTTCTTGGTAGTTAGTCTAGAGCTGCACTCCAATATTAGCTTCAGCTGATAGAATACAAAGTGATTAGAGCAATTGGAACAAAAGTTAGTTCAGCAACATTAGAAAGTTTAGAAATTGAAAAAGACTCAAATAGTCATCGAGAACAATAAATTTCTACAGTAGATTCCAGGTGATGAAAAAAATTAATGGATCAGAGTTATCAACACAGATAAATCTCAGAAGCGTAATGTGAAATAAAAAAAGCAACTTACAAAAGACATGGTATGATAAAAGTGAAGTTTTCAGACATGCAAACAGTGCTATTTATACATTTAATATTCATACATTATAACATTTATAATTTTTATATTATAACATTTATAGATTATAACACTTATACATTAAAAATTGACTGTAAAAATTGACCAGGAATGAGAAACCAAATGCAGGAGAGATGGTCGCTGTGGAATGGGATTGCAATAGGGTACACAGAGATGCCCAATTGTATTTCTGATGCTTGCTTGCTTTGGTGGCTTGAGAAGCACATGCAGATGTATTATGTTATCATAAATTAGTTTTATAACTTCAAAATGTTTTAAAAGCCAAACATTGAGAAATGAAGTGAATGACAGAGGTGCTTGAACTCAGAGCAAATAACATCACTTATTCACCAACCTCCTTGTATGTCTGTTTCCCACAGTTTCTGTGTGCACTACCAAGAAGGGAAGGTTATGAGTTCTTTGTAGGACAATGGACAGGCACTGAACTCCACTTTACTGCTCTTATAAATATTCAGGTAGGTGGTTTTCTTCCCTCCCCTAGAGGAAGGATCAGCCTACCCCTTGGAGACTGGGAGCCTTACCGAGGATTGGGTGTACAGAATACTAGCTCCTGTAGTTTTTGCTGTGGGAATGATGAGTTGTCATACTTGGTATGTTAAGTTAGTTTCCTAAGCCCTGCTCAATGCCTAGAAATTAGATAAGACCCAGAACACCTTCTCTGATTACTTTTGGCTCTCTCTCATCTCTTCGCCGAGCCTCTATAGCACTTATTGTATATACTTCACTTAACAAATATGGCTAAGTTAGTATTATTATTTTTTAATTTATTTGAGAGGCAGAAATAGAGCTCTCATCCACTGGCTTACTCCCCAAATGTCTGAAGTCAGGAATGCAATCCAAGTCTCCTGAGTGAGTGGCAGGAGCCCAGTTGCCTCCCAGGTTCTACATTAATAGGAAGGTGGAGTCAGGAGCTGGTGCTGGACTTCACCCCATACTCTGATGTGGGAATGGGTCTTTTTTTTTTTTTTTTTTTATGGTGAAAACACATGTATTTAGAATTAGCCAGCTGGACTTCGTTCAGATGATCCCAATTTTGTTGGCAACGTCCAGAGCATCATAGTCCGGAGCCAGCCGCACACACGCCTTCTTCTCTCCGTCAGGGCTGATCAGGGTGTTGACTTTGGCCACATCCATGTCATAGAGTTTCTTCACAGCTTGTTTGATCTGGTGCTTGTTGGCCTTGACATCCACAATGAACACCAGTGTGTTGTTGTCTTCTATCTTCTTCATGGCCGACTCCGTGGTCAGGGGGAACTTGATGATGGCATAGTGGTCAAGCTTGTTTCTCCTGGGGGCGCTCTTCCGAGGGTATCTGGGCTGCTGTCGGAGGCGTAGTGTCTTGGGCCGCCGGAAGGTGGGGGAAGTGCAGATCTTCTGTGGCTGTGGACGCCTTTCAGCACTGCCTTCTTGGCCTTCAAGGCCTTCGCTTTGGCTTCGACTTTAGGAGGGGCAGGAGCTTCCTTCTTCGCCTTCTGCACCATCTTGGTGAAAAGGCAGGAATGGGTCTTAACCGCTAGGCCATCTGGTACCTATTATGTAGCAGATGTTTTAGATACGTTTTGTAATTTAATCCTCACAAATGTGTCATGAGGTGGTTACTGTTATTTGTATTTACAGTGAATAAAGGGGGCTTGAAGAAGTTAGCTCACACTGCTGCTAAGTGATAGAACTGGGTTTGACACCAAAGTCTATGATCTTAACCTTTATGTGGTTGTGTCGGGAACTGTGCTAGGAACTGGAAATCTATGAGACAAAATCCCTACGCTAATGAAGCCCATACCCAAGTGTAGGAGAAAGATCCAGAAACAGAATTATCAGAAAAATGGTGGGTGTAATGATAGAATTATGATCAAAATGATTTGTAAGAAGTGTGTTCAAGGCCGGCGCTGTGGCTCAATAGGCTAATCCTCCGCCTTGCAGCGCCGGCACACCGGGTTCTAGTCCCGGTCGGGGCGCTGGATTCTGTCCCGGTTGCCCCTCTTCCAGGCCAGCTCTCTGCTGTGGCCAGGGAGTGCAGTGGAGGATGGCCCAAGTACTTGGGCCATGCACCCGCATGGGAGACCAGGAAAAGCACCCGGCTCCTGGCTTCAGATCAGTGCGATGCACCAGCCGCAGCGTGCTGGCCGTGGCAGCCATTGGAGGGTAAACCAACGGCAAAAAGGAAGACCTTTCTCTCTGTCTCTCTCTCTCTGTCCACTCTGCCTGTCAAAAATAAAAAAATAAAAAATTAAAAAGTGTGTTCAAGAGAACTGAGGTTTTTTTAATATATTCTTTGTTGAACTCTTTACTTAACAGAGTTAATCATATGTGTATAAAGTTAATTGAAAATAGATCTTAGTTAAAAATAAGAATGGGGGCCGGCACCATGGCTCACTAGGCTAATCCTCCACCTTGCGGCGCCGGCACACTGGGTTCTAGTCCCGGTCGAGGAGCCGGATTCTGTCCCGGTTGCCCCTCTTCCAGGCCAGCTCTCTGCTGTGGCCAGGGAGTGCAGTGGAGGATGGCCTGGGTGCTTGGGCCCTGCACCCCATGGAAGACCAGGATAAGTACCTGGCTCCTGCCATCAGATCAGCACGGTGTGCTGGCTGCGCCGCGCCGGCCATTGGAGGGTGGACCAGCAGCAAGGGAGGACCTTTCTCTCTGTCTCTCTCACTGTCCACTCTGCCTGTCAAAAAAATTTAAAAAAAAGAATGGGAATAGGAGTGGGAGGAGGAAGAGGGATGAGAGGGCGGGTATGGTGGGAAGAATCACCGTGTTCCTGAAGTTGTAATTATGAGATGTATGAAGTTGTATTCCTTAAATAAAAGGTTTTTTGGGGGGAGTATTACTCATCTTTAAAATTTTAATTTTATTTTTGACACAACAAAACTGTTTTTAAAAGGTTACTGTAGAGTCAGCAAAAATTATTTTATTAATGGACCCATGTCATTTTCATTTAAGTTTTTTTTAAGTTTGAGGAATTTTTTTTGACAGGCAGAGTGGACAGTGAGAGAGAGAGAGAGACAGACAGAGAGAAAGGTCTTCCTTTGCCGTTGGTTCACCCTCCAATGGCCGCTGCGACCAGCACACCACGCTGATCCAAAGGCAGGAACCAGGTGCTTCTAGTCTCCCATGGGGTGCAGGGCCCAAGCACTTGGGCCATCCTCCACTGCACTCCCTGGCCACAGCAGAGAGCTGACCTGGAAGAGGGGCAACCGGGACAGAATCCGGCACCCCAACCAGGACTAGAACCCGGTGTGCCAGCACCGCAAGGCGGAGGATCAGCCTAGTGAGCTGTGGCGCCGGCCAAGTTTGAGGAATTATTATGTAGCATTACTAACCACAAAAAATAGACTTTTAATAATTGTAATAGAGTACAAACAAAAATGGCAATATATATTAATTGTCATTAAAACTCTACATCCTTATTGCTTAAAAAAAAGAACTGAGAAGGGGCTGGTGTTATGATGCAGTGGGTTAAGCTGCTACTTAGAGTGCCAGCATCATATATCAGAGTGTTGTTTCCAGTCCTGGCTGCTCCACTTTGAATCCAGCCTCGTGCTAATGAACCTGGCAAAGCAGTGAAAGAAGGCCTGAGTACTTGGGCCCCTGCCACCCATGAGGGAGGTTCTGGCTCCTAGGTTCAGCCTAGCTCAGTCCAGACTGTTGCAACCCTTTGGGGAGTGAACCAGCAGATGGAAAATCTCTTTCTCACTCTCTCCCTCTCTCTCTCTCTCTCTCTCTCTCTCTCTCTCTCTCTTCCCCTCTCTCTGTCTGTCTGACACACTGCCTTTCAAATAAATAAAATCTTTAAAAAGAGCTGAGAAGCTGAGCTATTAAGAACAGTCTAGCAGTGGTTAGGTATTGATTTTTTTTTTTTTTTTTTGACAGGTAGAGTTATAGACAATGAGAGAGACAGAGAGAAAGGTCTTCCTTCTGTTGGTTCACTCTCTAAATGGCCGCCACACCCATGCTATGCCGATCCAAAGCCAGGAGCCAGGTGCCTCCTGGTCTCCTATGTGGGTGCAGGGGCTCAAGCACTTGGGCCATCCTCTACTGCCTTCCCGGACCACAACAGAGCTGGACTGGAAGAGGAGCACCTGGGACTAGAACCTGGCGCCCATATGGGATGCCGGCACCGCAGGTGGAGGATTAACCTAGTGAGCCACGGTGCCGGCCCCAGGTATCGATAATTAATAGCTAGATTATTTGATAATTTCTTGCTGAAATTTTTAATATGAGATGCAGGAATTTTTTTAAATGTAGTTTCTCTCTATACTATATAGGGAGTTAGCGCTGAACCCAGCCTTTCTTCCTAGTTTAGATTTGAGGTCTAGTAACCACTGCCCTGACCATTCTTCATGAGATTGTATTTTCATTCTTCTTCTCCCTTTCCTCCCCCAGCCAGATTATATTTTAGAACTGCAAATTCCAAATCTGGCCCATGTACAGACACTCCAGCTCTTGCTATAGTTTAAAAGAGCTCACCCTTCAGAGCCAGCCTAGGGGAGTGGATTTCAGCTGTGAAATGCACTGGCCCGTTAGAGTGACAATTATGCAGGCACATTGCTTTCTTTAGAACTTGATTTGGTAGCTGCTCGTGTCATTTTGTTTTTAAATGTATGGCTACAATGAAGGATTCACTGCCTACTATAAACATTTTCTGGGAAAAAAGCCAAATCTTTTCCAATTGAAGACACAAATAACACAGCAGACTGTCAGTTTTACCATGCCTTTGCAATACTGACCTTGCCCCAATATACCAGTCCTCCAACTAACCTACTAGCCACCCAAGGGGCTGTTACAAGCCAGAATTTCCTCCAGACTCTGTATTGCTTTGAAATTGCAGTTTGCTGTAGTGGTACCTTATTGAGCCTTGATAAGTGTTCCTTCTTGTAGACCCGAGGGGATGCTGCGGCCAGCCAGTTGATTTTATATCACTACCCTGAGCTTAAGGAAGAAAAGGGCATTGTGCTGATGACAGCAGAAATGGATTCCACATTTCTGGTAAGAATCAATGTTAACCTCTTTGGATTTACCTAATCCCTTAATGGTATTAACACTTTTTTCAAAACTCATGAGGTAAAATTCCATAGACTTGTATGTACATTGTTTCTTATTTTAAAGCTGAAAATAATTGTGTTTTGCTCTGGTTCTTACAAGTTGAAGTTAGTACAGATTCTCAGTCACTTATTAACAATTCTGAAATCCACAAGCTCTGAAAACAAAGTTTTTCATACTCATTTGGTCACAAAACATCTCCTGACTTGAACTCATTTGATAGCTTAAATGGATGTAGGACATTTATAGTCCTTATTAATCCCCTTTAGTATGCATTTTGTTAGGAAAATATTCATGTTTGATTATAGGGAGCTGCATAATATACAGTTTAACAGTATTTATACTTAAAACTGGTCTGAAATCCCATAATTCTGAATCCAAGCCTCAAGGCTTGAGTTTCAAGTAGGAGATGAAACTCCTATGAACAAGTAAATGGCTTTTTTAAGTGTAGGGAGAAGTTCAAAGTCTAAAATAATTCTCCATTTTTATCTTTTCCATACTGTACACATGTATAACATGCATCATGTGTAGTGATATCTTTTTCTCCTTTTTCCATTTCCAATTGAGAATCCTTAGGACAGACCATGAACCATGTGCTCCTAGCTAATGAATCCCATTGTCTTCTCTGCACATCCAGGTACCAGGAGCAGTTTTATGATTACCACACAACCTGTTTGTCTAGTCCTTGCTCATTTCAGTCTCATCTGTTGGCCACAGGTTAACCTCAGGACGTACTCAAAATAGTGGGCACCTGAGAGCCTCTTCCCTCTGATATTTTTCATTAGCAACACCCACATATTTTTGCTTTATCTTACCAGCTGCTTAGAGGAGAAGAATAAGTGATATCATTCAGCTAGTCTCCCGCAACAGCAGTAGGCCCAAGCCCAGGACACGGTGGGGACTTTACTTCCTGTTTTTTCTGAAACTGTCCCATCCCATCTCTTTCATTTTTCCATCCACTGAAACTCTTTCATCACACTCAATTGTTGGTCACCCAAAATTCTCACCAGAAATAAGGAATTGCCAATAGAAAAGATTGGAGAAGGAAAATCTGGAGCTTATTTTTCAAACTGTTAAACTTGAGATGTCTGTTAGATGAATATTCAAGTAACAAGCAGTTAGATAAATAGTCTTGGATTCAGGGAAGAGATATAATATGGGAGTTGTCAACATACAGATTGTACTCACAGCCATGGGACTTCATGTAATCACCAAGGAAATAATGAAGATAAAATTGAAGAACCAACCCTTCAATCAAAAAGAAAAAGTATGACATTATTGTCAAAGGTGGGTCAGCAAATAAGCTGGTGGGCCACATCTAACCCACTACCTGTTTTTATAGGGCCATGAGTTAGGAATGTTTTCCACATCTTTAAATGGTTGACAAAAGTATATGAAATTCAGATTTCAGTATATGTAAATAAATTGTTTACATTAAATATTGGAACACAACCATGCTCATTCATTTACATATTATCTGTGGCTGCTTTTGCTCTACAACAGAATTAAGCAATTGCAACATTTTGCAGCCGAGGCTGTATCTTGCAGAGCCTAAAATAGTTATTGTTTACAGGAACTTTTTGCCATTCAGTCTAGTAGTATGGAAGAGAAAGTAACTGAGGGGCAAGGCAGTCAAAGATGAACACAAAGGAATCGTTCTAATCGTTCTAATTGTTGACCATGGAATAGATGCTGGGTAAAAAGGGAAGTGACAATATAAGGGAGGTTAGAGACAGTAAGCATTGTGAGTCCCAGTGGAGTTGAAGGATTGTGAGTCGGGAGTGAGCTAGAAAGACACAGGACATGGCTTACCTCTGGAAGATGCCAGAGCACCTGCTACACAGCAATTCCCCCGCTCCTGCTCCTGCCTTAGTCTGTTCACTCTCACCTAGGAACAAGTCAGTCAGGAAACCCGGCCTCAGCCACAGCTTTTAAAGAACCAGAGGTGGCAACTCACCAAAGTGTAATTACCCTGACAAGCCACAGTGTAAAGTTCCTGAAGGTGTGTGCTAACTTGATCAGAGGCACAAAGGAAAAGAATCTCAAAGTGAAAGGACCAGTTAAGTGCCTGCCAAATCAAGTGTGCCTTCTCAAATCAAGAAAGAGTAAAGGTACTAAGATGTGGGGTTGATCCAGGTAAGAAGCCCACCAGCAACTCAGTGACTCACACAGTCCTGAGATTGTTAATCGAATTACATCCATCAGTATTGAGACAGGAGTTGAAGTCAACATAGTAGATGCCTAAGCCAACTATTTTAATAAACTATCAGTTGTTTAAAAAAAAAGAAAGTATATAGTAGGCAAAGTATAAATATTTCAAATTGAGATTTGGAGATTACTGATAATGGCAAGGTTTGATTTAGCTGTGGGAATAACATAGATGTTGTACAATATTTTCTTTTTTTTTTTTTTAAGATTTATTTTTATTTACTTGAAAGAGTTACAGAGAGAGGTAGAGACAGGGAGAGAGGTTTTCCGTCCGCTGGCTCACTCCCCAGATGGCTCCTATGGCTGGAGCTGAGCCAATCTGAAGCCAGGAGCCAGGAGCTTCTTCCAGGTCTCCCACATGGGTGCAGGGACCCAAGGACTTGGTCCATCCTCTGCTGCTTTCCCAGGTGCATTAGCAGGGGAGCTGGATCAAAAGTGGAGCAGCTGGGACTCAAACTGGTGCCCATATGGGATGAAGGCACACCACAGCGCTGGCCCTGCAATACTGTCTGATCTTCAGCAAAGTGTAACATCTGTCCAAAAGTGAGTCATAGAGGTCAAAAGAGGTCCTTTCTGCTTTTTGCCATTTTTACCACCTCACTTCTGGTATTCTCAAACTGCTATGCAGTTATCATCATTAAAAGAATATCCTTGGGGCCAGCGCTGTGGCGTAGCAGGTAAAGCCATCACCTGCAGGGTGGTCATCCCATGTGGGTGCCAGTTTGAGTCCCAGCTGCTCCACTTCCGATCCAGCTCCCTGCTAATGCACCTGGAAAAGCAGTAGAAGATGGCCCACATGTTTGGGCCCTTGCATCTACGTGGGAAACTCAGAAGCTCCTAGCTCCTGGCTTCAGATCGGCTCAGCTCCAGCCATTGTGGCCACCTGGGGAGTGAACCAGCGATGAAAGACTCTCTCTCTCTCTATCTCTCTATCTCTATCTCTCTCTCTCTCTCTCTCTCTCTCTCTCTCCCCTCCCCCCCCCCGCCTGTGCCTCTCCGTTACTCTGCCTTTCAAAAAAATAAAAGAATATCCTGCCCTTTTAACATTTGACAGCATACCATACAATATACATTTTTTAAAAGACTGATTTTTTTATTTATTTGAAAGGCAGAGTTACAGAGAGAGGTAGAGACAGAGAGAGAGAGAGAGAGAGAGAGAGAGAGAGGTTTTCCATCCACTGGCTCACTCCCCAAATGGCCCCAACAGGCAGAGCTGAGCCGATCCGAAGCCAGAAGCTTCCTCTGGGTCTCCCACATGAGGTGGTATCAATAACTAAATCGTATTAGGTAACGCCCAGGGCATAAAACAGGTGCAGGGCCCTGAGGCACCTCCATAGAGCCCGTGAAGTGTTCTCGAGTGAACACAGCTGAACTTACCCCTGCCTTCACCACTCAATCCTAAAGTAAAAGTTGATAAGTGGCATCTGTCTGTGATTATGGTAATACACTTAACTTACTTTAGAAATGGTTTACTCTTGAGGCATCCTTGAGTTTAAGAAAGGTGGAATTGATGAAGTTATTAACCTTGATCAGTCTTCCCTGTATGGGCTCACAGAGACGGTAACATGGTGAAGTAGGGGACGTATCAGCCTGGGAAACTAGAGGTCTGATTCTGGTTTCGCCACTGGCAGCCACATGACCTTGGGCCCATCCCTGGGCCTCATCTGCCTACTTTCCTGGCCTAGTAAATGAGAACTGGGTGGTCTCTGAGGCCCCTTCCAGCTCTGAAGTTCCATTAATTTGAAGTAGCCAGCTTTTTGAGAAAAGGCTTTTGATTGAAGATCTGGTCTCAGAGATTAGGAGCTTGCTTGGTGAGAAATGACTTGAAAGATTCCCGGAGGGAATAGAGGTGAAGCACAGCTGCTGGTGTTTATAAACCCCTCTTCATCATTCTGTAGTCAGACAGCATGCTTTTGACAGTTGGTTTTCAGTAGGAATTTTCCATTATCTTTTGGGATTTGATGTTGTCCATATGAACACAGTAGTAGTGGGTAGGTGCCTCTGACCAGCTGTAACTGCAGAAAGTGTAGGAAGCACAAGTCAGAGTTGTTTGAGGTGGTGTCTTTGGTAGGGTTTGGTTTTTTGTTTGCTTTTTTTTTTTTTTTTTTTAAGATTTATTTATTTATTTGAGAGGTAGAGAGAAAGGTCTTCCATCTGCTGGTTCACTCCCCAGATGGCCACCATGGTGGAGCTGGGCCAATTCAAAGCCAGTAGCTTCTTCCAGGTCTCCCATGTGGGTGCAGGAACCCAAGCACTTGGGCCATCTTTCACTGCTTTCCAAGGCCATAGCAGAGAGCTGGATCGGGAGAGGAGCAGCCAGGACATGAACCAGCGCCCACATGGGATGCCAGCACCACAGAGGGAGGCTTAGCCTACTGTGCCACAGTGCCGGCCCCTGGTTGAGTTTTCAGAATGAAGCCTGAGTCCCGACTCCCCTCCCCTTGTTACAGAGGGTGGTTTCCTCACCATTTCCCTGCTACTGAGCTTTAGAGAAGATGGCTCCTTCTCTGCTTGGGCCTTTGATGGTGTATTACTTATAAATGGCTGTATAAAAAATAACAGAAGTTAATGGCTTAAAACAATAAGCACTTGTTATCTTAGAGTTTCTGTGAGTCCATAATTGAAGAGCAGCTTAGCTGGTCAGTTCTGGCTCAGTCTCAGCAGGTACTGTCAAGATGCTGGCAAGGGCTAAGGTCATCTAAAGGTTGATTGAACTTGAGACTCCACTTCCAGCCCCACTCACATGGCTGTTGGCAGAGGCCATATGACTACTTGAATGTCCTTACACCATGGCAGGTCACTTACGTCCTTATACCCAGAGCAAGTGATTCTAGAAAGAAGCTCCGATCTTTCATGGCTTAATAGTGAAGTCATTTTCCATCATTTCATCATTGTCTGTTAGAAGCAAGTTGCTGAGTACAGCCCTCATAGGGAAATTAGTTCTACCAAAGGAAGGACGGTCATGGAATTTATGGACCAATTTTAAAACCATCACAGCTGACTGTGGCACTGTTTCTCTGGCTGAGGTAGTATCAGTAACAGGTGTTCTTCACGTGTATGGTTGGTCAAGAACTGAATTATCCGCAAGTGAGTTCTTGGGTTGGGTAGCTATGCTTCCCCATTAAACACATACACTTTAAGATCTATTTAATAGTTGTTTAGGAACTGAACGAAGAGAGGAATTATGACATATGCACTAGTTTATTCAGCACTCACCAATTGGCAGTATGTGCAAGGATATCTGCTGTGTTTTATCTTTGAAGAATGTATACTGAGGAAGACAAAGAAAAAGGAATAAAAGGACTAATACAGGAGGTCTTCAAAAAGTTCATGGAAAATACATATTATGAAAAAACTAGGCATGGGTTTCAATTTTTTATCTTCCAATTCCATTTTCCACGAATGTTTTGCAGTCTCCTTGTTCAGTACACTGATAAATAACGTGGTGGCGGGCACAGGATGATTTGGTTACGTGGAGAAGGGGTAACCTGACCAAGACTCAGGAGGTCAGGGAAGCTTTCTAGAAGCAGTGACTACGTGAGGGCCCCACTCGCCACAGAGCACAGAGAGCTTTGTGGCCCTGTCAGGGAAGGACCTCACTGCTCTCTCTACCTTACAGAATGTTGCTGAGGCGCAGTGCATCGCCAACCAAGTTCAGCTCTTCTATGCCACTGATCGGAAGGAGACCTTCGGGCTAGTGGAGACCTTTAACTTCAGACCAAATGAGTTCAAATATATGTCTGTCATCGCTGAGTTGGAGCAAAGTGGACTTGGAACAGAACTGAAATGTGCCCAGAACCAAGATAAGACTTAGCGCTGTCTTTGCTCCGCCTACCCAAGATCTGGTTGTGAGCCCTTCTCAGAGTCAGCCTGGCACTGGGTAGTCTAGAGCCCATCCACCCCCGGAATTCAAGGACTCAGCATCTGTAATGAGCAGTCTCTAGTGACTTCCCTGTGTGCTTGTTGCAAGAAGTGACAATGGAGATGAGCCCTATTACTTGATATTCAGGAACAGAGATTCCCAAGTCTTCTGATGATACCTCTCCGCATACTTGAGGTTTCTTCTTACGTGTTTGTGGTCCTAGCACTAGACCAAGGACCTGCAGGATTGTCTTGGTTTCCCACAGTTTTATCAGTGCATTTTGACCTCATAGCTCCCAGATGATCAGTTCTTCATCTTTATGAACTGTGGCAGGATAATAAGCTTGAAGACCTACCGTATAGTTAGGTGTGGGCTTTATATACTCTTCCCATGTGATAGTAAGCTGGCCAAAGACATAACCTGTATGTCCTGTTTAGACTCTAAAACAACCAGGAAATCATTCCCATCAGCATGAAGACTTCATCTTGAAGCCCTCAGAGTTGCCATTAGTGTGGCTGTTGGGGGTCAGCAAATTTTAGGTAGAGTTAGATAAACGGATACAGTGCCTGCATATAATGAAGCTGTAGCCTATGGCCCCTACTCCTCCATCCACGCCTGTTGGAAGCTGTGTGTTTGAAGGAGGTGAATCAGTGCAGTATAAGTAAACGAAAACACTTGTTAGGAGCAAATCGAGATCTACCTGATTAAAAAAAAAAAAACCCTCTATGCATTATGTGAAAAATGAGGAGAAGCAAATGTTTCCAGATTGGATTTGTGGAAATTGTAGCAATAAAATAAAGCCTGGTTTACAATCTTTATTACACAAAATAGTGAAATCTAAGTTATACGCTATCTATAGTTTCAGTGCTGTGAGCCAATTATTAAAACTCATCTGGGAACTCAGAAATAAGAAAATTGTTCACCAGTGCTAGAAGCACAAGTTAGTTTGTAGTCTCTGTTGTGGCCCTACGCTCGGTGACAGAAGAGCTGGTAGTCTCACAGTGACCGTCAGAACCCGAAGCCCCAGATGCCCTGGGTGTTGTTGCCTGCCCGCCTGCCTGCACTCTGCCTTTCCTTTTCTTGATCTAACACACTCCTCCTACCCAAGATCTGCTTGGATGACCACGAATATGGTGAGTGGGAGTCAATGCGTATTTGCAGTTTGTGTGTGTGTGTTTTCTTCATTACACAAGACTTTATAGGCTGGGCCTGACCGCAGGCTTTTAAATAGTATTGTATTTCCCATTATTTTCTGAGCTGTTTCTATTTTGTTGCACCTTTGAGTCTGTGTTTAAAGAAACAGGTAGTATTTGTTTAACCTGGGGAAGCTGCCACCCTTCCACAATTTCTGTAAAGGTTGAGCTGTTTTCTTAGTACACATTCTGGACCTGTCCTTGGTCCTGACAGTTCACCTTTTAGAAACTTGAGTCTTATCAGCCCTGCCATTTTCCTTAAAAGCCCTATGGCCTTTTGGATGTTTTGAGTCTCAGGAATCCTTGACGTCAAGTGAGGATGCTTTCGTATGTATCCAGTTATGTTTGCTTTTCTCTCCAAATGGACTTGGTTCTGAGCCATAGTACATTTTCATACACCTCCACCAGAGGGGAAGAAAATGATAAGAAAAGAAATAATAAATGGCTGCTTATTGTATTCCTCCCAGCTTTGCCTTCCATCCCTGTTTGCCAAAGAAGGATGTATCCATAAGTAATTACATTGGTTGTGACTGAAGTACCATCTGGCTATCCGTTGTGTTTCTTTACCTAGAGAGATCTGGCCAAGAACTGAAAGAAAGTTGTAATATTTTAATTAGTGAATCTGTAACCAGGTGCCTGCATGGTGTTATGGAAAGGGGAAAGGCTTTAGAGTCAAGTGAATCTGGCTTCAGATGTCAGTGTTGCAAATTCTTTAGTGCTGTGATGCTGAACAGATTACTTACACAAATTGGATTTGTATTTTTTCATCTGAAAAATGGGGGTAATAATATCTACCTCACAGGATTATTGTGAGAATTAAATTAACATACAGAGAAGACAAGAGAACTTAGTCACGTCAACTGCCTGCCTTTTCTCTCCTTCCCCTTCCCCTCCATGAAGACTGGTACCATTTCAGGTTAACAATTCTCAAGCGTTTATGACGTAGCAGAATTACCCAGAGCACTCTAAAATGCAGAGTCCTATGCCAGCATCGTGCCCCTGCCATACATGCACACACACACACACCCCTCACCCCTGCTGAATGAGAATGTTTGAATGAGGTGAAAGGACTGTACTTTTTCATCCATGTTCCAGTCAGCTATACTTTGAAAACGGTTGCCTTATTTATTCTTTGCAAAATATCCACTAAGTAAGTCTCTTTCCTTTGGACATTGAATTTGTGATTTGGTTCCTCTGCTCTTTGTATCCCATAGTGGTCCCCTTTCCATATTCTTAATTGTATGTATGTATTTATTTATTTGGATTCTCTCTCTCTCTCTCTCTCTCTCTCACACACACACACACACACACACACACACACACACGTCTGTGAGCTCCTTGAGAGCTAGGACTTATCTCTGTTCCCAGTGCCAAGGATACAGCCTGGACCATTAGAAGATACTCAGTTGTTTGTTGAATAAATAAGTGACATGGATTTTAGCCAAAACATTAATCTTGTGGTTTTGTGTGCACCTCCATCTAAATACTCTGGATTCAAGAGAATATTCCCCATAGATAAAAATCTGTTGAGTAGGAATATTTGCGAACCAAGATGCCAAGTTAAAGACCGAGCCTGTGTCTCGCCTCTGCTGGCATTGTGTTGGTGGACAGTTGACTCAGTGCATTTCCATAGCAGCTCCCGGAGCACCCGCTCAGCGGCTGATGTGTTGAGTGCTGGCTGCAAGAAGATGCTAGGCTGATCCCTGCTCTCAGGCTCTGTCAGCCACTGCCTGATTTCCTCTTGTCTGCGACTCTGCCTCATACACTAGCCTGTGGTCACTGCTTGCCTTGCCTGGCTCTCAGGATGTTCATTTTGGTACTTCTTTTTTCTCTACCTGGTTTGGAAGATGGAGCCACATGTGCTGTGTTTTGCATTTGCCACAATACTGATCTTTTTTCAGTATTGGAGAAGTACTAATGCCCACTCCTACAGTCATTTGATTTAGCATTGAGTATTTTTTTTTTTTTTTGACAGGCAGAGTGGACAGTGAGAGAGAGAGACAGAGAGAAAGGTCTTCCTTTGCCGTTGGTTCACCCTCCAATGGCCGCCGCGGCCGGCGCGCTGCGGCCGGCGCACTGCGCTGATCCGATGGCAGGAGCCAGGAGCCAGGTGCTTTTCCTGGTCTCCCATGGGGTGCAGGGCCCAAGCACCTGGGCCATCCTCCACTGCACTCCCTGGCCACAGCAGAGGGCTGGCCTGGAAGAGGGGCAACCGGGACAGAATCCGGCGCCCCGACCGGGACTAGAACCCGGTGTGCCGGCGCCGCTAGGCGGAGGATTAGCCTAGTGAGCCGCGGCGCCGGCTGAATGGCTTTTATTGCCATGAGTTATTAGGCCTGTCCCTCTTCCTGCCTGGGCCCCAGTTTTCCCATAGACTTCAGGGAGATCAGACTGAGTGATATCCCTGGACTTTTCCCATTGAAGAGACTCCGCCCCTCCTCACAGCCTCCACTACTGCACTATGAGGTGGGACTCTGGGGGCCTGGTAGAAGAGCCTTAGAAGACGAAGTTGAGGGCAGGGGCTGCACCTGGCCTAAATGCAGTGCTTGAAACCTAAGGGGCCTTTTGTAAACACTCAGACAATGAATGGCCAAGCCAAAGAGAATTGGATCTGCTGTGTCCACCCCACCGTGCTGTCATTTCTAAGATGTTGAAACTGTACTAATTTACCACTATCACTAAAAATATCACCCAACCTGCTGGCGATCGTCAGGGACTCTCACCCTGGGGTGACTCTGAGGCAGGTATGTGGAACCTACCTGGAGAAAGGATGCTGTGAAGGAAGGAGGGAGGCACCATGGAGACTGGCAACTCTGGGGCGGCTTCCTGTAGGAGAAGGGCCTTGAGCTGGGCTGTGTGTTTGGGGGTGCTCCAGGAAGGCAGCCCCAGAGGCTGAAATTGAGGCGTCACAGCGGTAGGGTTGCACGGAACTTCCTGTGCAATGTGGTGGGTTCCGTGGAAAACAGCCTGTCACCAACCATCCCTTCCATTTCCGGGGTGCCGCCGGGCTGGAGGGGACAGTGCCTCCCGGAGTCCTGCTGAGTGCCAGGTCTGGGGGCCCTGACATTATCTTAAGGGAACCTAACCTGTGCATATCGGGCTTTCATCACAGCCTGCAGAGGTCTCCTTCCAAAGACCCTAACCCTGGAGGGGTGAGGGCAGTGCCTCCTACTCAAGGGGTGAGCAGGGAGTTGGGAGGGAGGAGGACACTGGGGTCTGAGGTTCTCAGAGGCACAGGGGCCCTGCTAACTTCAGAGGGACCACAGCCCCCCGCCATGGGGGCTGTGCCACTTCTGCCTGCACATCTCCCTCCCGAGAAGCAGTGCAGCCCTCTGGGCGGCAAGGCTGACAGCTCTGACTACCCTGGGCCCAGGGCCAAGCTTCCTCCCCCCGCTACACAGACACCCACTGGGTGCTGGAAGGCAGCACCCTGGAGCAGACTGACCACAGTGTGTGCTGTTCATAGGCACTGGCTCCTCGCAGCTCTTCTGTGGGCCAGATGTTGCTGTGGTTTTGCTTATTTTAGGAGAGAAGGAGAAATGGGCTTAGGGAAGAGAAGTGCCTTGGCCAAGATCACACAGCGTCTTAAACCCTCCTTGTCGACCTTGCCTTCCCCAGTCATACTGCCTTGACCCTCGTCTTCTTCAAGCTAAAGGAAGCTGAACTTCTTACAGCCGTGGAAGTGCCCACAGCTTTCTCACTCAGTGGGTGGGGAGGGAAGATCCTGGCTGGGAGAGTCTGCCTCCTGGGCGGGGAGGAGCAATCTGCAATGGAAACTTCCTTGGGTGACAGTGAGGAGAGAATGGCCCTATCAGGCTACAACAGGAGCCAGAGGCCCGGGGAGGCACCTTGGGGATACGGGTAGCTCATTCTGGAAGAGGAATGGCTGTAGGGCACCTTTCCTGGCATCAGAGGGGCTGGGGTGTCCCAGGAAGGAGTCACTGTGTCACTGCATGTCACTGGAGTCGGAGCAGGACAGGAAGCTGGCTCTGGCAGGCGCTTAGTGTGGCTAGAAGATGCTTACGTGGAGCAGATGAGGAAATTCAGGGCTAGAGAGGGGCAGGGGTTCCTGGGTCTCCTGTCACTGGGAGCTCCCAGCAGGGAGGCACGTGCCCGGCTGTGCAGCGGAAGGAGGCACATCCTCCCCCGGGTCCTTGCTGATGCCTGCCGAGCTTCAGTGATGAGCCCCTCTGGAGCCACCTATCACCCTCAGGTCACAGTGGCAGGGCAAAGTGCCTGTGCCGTGTAGGTGTGCAGTGCCATAGATTCACACGCCTGCAGGGAGGGCGGGGTCTTGTGCACGATCATGGTCTCTCCAGCCCAGAGGTCAGAGGTGTCAAGGTCTGGGCCAGCCTCCCACAGACACACAGGTGCTTTCGAAGTCCCTTGTATTTCCCACAGTGCAGGATTCTGTGCTTTTTGCTCTTCACCAGATAAACGCCCGTCCATCCTATGCAGCCCAGCTCAGAGGTACAGAAAATAACCGTGTGCAAAGCCACAGAGGAAGTCACACCAAGTTCCAAAGAATCCTACCAGCTATGATCTCTGCCCGCAGGATAATATAATTAGAAGTCAACAAGAACAACATAAGCCTCCCCATAGGCTGAGAAACTAAAGAGCACACTTCCAAATCATCCAGGAGTTAGCGGAAATGACACTGAGAGTTCTCAACCGTTTGGACGTGAACGATAAGGAACGCGCATGCAGTTTCTAAGTCATTTCCTCTCTGAGGTCAGCCCTGACCCCACATTACTCCTCCCTGTGACTCTCCACCCCCCACCCAGCGCTGTGCCCTGGCTTCTGATAGGATTCAGTTAACAGGGAAACCTGGCCAGATGCGAGAGAGGCAGCAAGGGAGGGAGGGGAGAGGAGAGAAAAGAAGAGAAGGCCCCTCTATTACTCCCAGTCCTGCCCTGTACATGCGCCCCTTGACCTTGGGCCGCAGCACTGGTCAGTAGCCCTCTCCTCTAGCACCCGCTTCTACCACTGCCCACCTCCCCAGCCCTTCAGCCTGCTGTGGACAGCCTCCCACTGCTCTCTCCAGCCCTGGCTGGGTTCTGTACAGCCTGACTACACCTATCACCAGGGCCTCCATTAGATTCCTAAAATACTCCTGCTCTTACAGCTTGCGTGGCCAGCAGTCCAGAACCCGGCCCTCACTCCTGGATGGCAGAGCCCTGACCTCGTGTTAGCAGGGGGTGCCAGCACCTGAGGTTACTGCCGGGATGACCTTCAGCCAGTCCCCTCATCTCAGCGTACAGTCCCGCTCAGTCCTGAGTAGGATCTCACCCTAAGTGGAAGCAGATGTTCATGGAGGATTTGGTGCAGATTAAGATTTACATAAAATGCAGAGAACTTTGGGACAAAATAAGTCCTGAACAAAAGAGTGGGTTTTCAGCTCTATGAGCAGGGTTCTCAGATGCCGGTATGTTCCTGTGCCATGAAGCAGGCAGAAGGCCCAGACCCAAGGGGAGCCCACTGTGACATCTGGGCCACAGTAAGTACCCACCTACAGCCTCCAGGTGTCCCCTACCTGAACTTGCTCATCCCCCTCCCCCCCCAGGACAGCTTCTGTAATCCACCTTGACCTTCCTAACCTAAAACACTTCTCATTTCCACCCCATCCCAGCCATGAGCAGGCCAATGGGTCCCCTGGCCTGGGGCCATGATGTGCACTGAGCACCTATGGGGCTATGGCTACCCCCAGGGAAGGAACCCAGGTCAAAAAGGAGGCAGGTCTTGAGGTGTTTGGATTTGGGTGGGAGAAAGAAGGGAAAAAGTTATTCCAGACAGGGCCCCGCTGGGACAAGAGTCTGGTGTTAGGAAAGGAGTGGCGGGGGGGGGGGGGGGGGGAGGCGGGGGAGGTGAGGAGAGAAGAGAGCCCGGTCCCGGGCCAGCCTGCTGGGGAGGGGAAGTCTGGGATTTGAGCACTCATTGGGCAGGTCTTCTCTGGGATCAGAGGTTCAGCTCATGAATCCCATCGCAGGCATGCGCTCATTCATACATTCACCCATTCCTTCAAGGGCGTTCTGCGGGCCTGCTGTGTTGGGCACCATGCCAGCAGCCAGCATGTGTGCATGCCCATTTGGGGAGTGAACCAGTGGATGGAAGCGCTCTCTCTGTCTCCTCCTTTCTTTATTAAACAACAACAACTTGGGATGCCTATATCCTGAGGGGAGTGCCTGGTTCCAGAGCCGGCTCCTCTGCTTCGGAATGAGCTTCCTGCTAATGTGTACCCCGAGAGGTAACGAGAGATGGCTCCGAGTCGGGTTCCTGCCACCAGCATAAGAAACCCAGACTGAGTTCTGGGCTCCTGGTTTCCACCGGGCGCAGCCCTGGCTGTTGCAGGCAATTGGGGAGCGAGCCCAAGGATGAAAGGTCTCTGTCTCAAATGAAGTAAAAACACATAAATAAAAATCGTGCGTGTGTGTGAGAGAGAGAGAAGGA